TAATACAGCTATAAAGCTACTGTTAGCAATTTGGTGTGAAAACCCTCATGATATGTCCTCATTTGAACGTTCATCAACCTTAACTTCTAGTATTACACCTAATACAGCTATAAAGCTACTGTTAGCAATTTGGTGTGAAAACCCTCATGATATGTCCACATTTGAACGTTCATCAACCTTAACTTCTAGTATTACGGTAATACAGCTATAAAGCTACTGTTAGTATATTGATGTGATCACCCATATACAATGTCAATATATGAACTCTGATGAACTTGACTTCTAGTATTACATGTACAGTAATATGGCTATATCAAAGTCCAACCAAACGAGATATTGTATGGACAGACTGATAGAAAGGGCAAACGCTTATTGTTGCCTCTGCTATGTTTCGGTGTACATAAAAAGATTAAATCAGCAGCCACCGTGTATATCAACAACCTGAACCACTAAACAGAGAGCTGGATACTCCGTAGTGTAGTAGTCTTTAGCTTGGCTGCGTGTAAGCGTATGTAAAGGACCCCATTTGTTTTGCGTCCTCTCCGTAATGTTTAACTAGGTCGTGATGTACAAGTTATTTGTGGGGTCATGTACTTTAACATGTTCATTTATCTGTGTAGTTTTTAAAAGTAGTTCAACATGTATGCACGCGACGACTCCATTATCAAGTGCAGGTTTCAATCTCTTTGTTACACATACAACTTAGTACTGTCTATAAAGTAAGGGTTGGTTAGTTTAGTTCACTCTTTTTATTTTTAATGTACCAATCAAAAAATGTTAAGAATTTATAAATTGATTTTCCTTAATGCCTGATTATTTATTAAATTGAATATTTTAAAAACATGTTGGTGCCTTTTGAAAATAATCTATAACCAAAAATCACATACAGCTACTTTAAAGCTGATCTAATTTTCCATATCGGGGCCCTGTAATTATCAAATCAAAAACAATATGCACTTCAGAAACATGTTATATTTTTTTTGAGTTTGTATAACGAACTGGTGAGATTTCATACATTTACTAATTAAAGACTTTAAGTGAATCTTTTAATGTAAAATTAGCTGAGTTCATCAACTTAGAGTCATAATCTGCATAGTGCACTCTTACTTATGGCACGCCCTCTAAGAGATAAAACTACAAAAACAATCGTGACAAAAGCCTTCAATGATAATAAGATTACAACAGTTAAGAAGTGCAAACTTGAAAAACATAAATCAATGTTAACCACAGCGTTTGAAAAAAAAGGTTAAGTTAACTAAGCCCCATGCCATAGACTCTAACACATTACTGCTACAGTACTGTGATATATTCGTACGTAATACGTTCGTCATGCTTTGAATTTGGCCTGCGTGCGAACTGCGTTATTGAAGCGTGACAAAGAAAATTGGCATTCGGATATCGCAACAGATGTGTGTTGTGATTCTTACATTAGTTAAAAGCTGCAGGTGTTATTCTGTTACCAGAAATAACTGTCTTTCTTCGGCAGTCATATTCGTTGTAGATATATAGGTTTATAAGTTTTAAAACCACACATTTTCCTCATAAAGACTCATCTGTCAGACATTCAGAGTAATTACGTCACAGCATAAATTTGTGAAATGTTAAATATATGACTCATAATGAATTCTAACATGTATGAATCAATATGATGACGTCATTATTTCAGGAGAAAGACAAAACTAATGTTTTAATTTATTTGACGTGCAATAATCACAGAAAGTACAATTGTACGTACATCGCTAAAGTACATGTAAATTATAACAAAATAACTTAGATTCTTAAACTCGTACGTGATATATTTGAATTATAATAAAATCAATGTTAAGAATTGTAAATAACTCCCACACTCGTGTATCTAAATAAGTAAACAATTTAATGTTATCAAAAATCAAATTCGTCAATTATTAACAGTAATATATAGATATTTCATTTTATAAAATCTCCAGGATGTTGATTTAAGTACATAGAGGCGATGAGTGCGGAATTTCAAAGGAATAAATGTATAAAAATATGCGTACATATCTTGTTAATTCTGTATTTGAATAATTAAACAGAAATATCATCCCAATTTTAATATGAACATGGACATGTAAGATATTATACTACAAGATATAATTTTAGCCATGAAATTATGACCTGGAGTTGAAGAACACTGCAAGTTTCTCTATAAGCATTATCAAAAGAAATTGCGTTAAGGGCCTATGAACTCAATTGGATCAGCGCCATTTTGAAGCTTCTCATCCCGCCTCAAACAACAAGAGACAACCATTATAAGCAAACATTTTGGTGACGTCGGGTTGTTCAAGGAATCTCGTATGCACTGACGATACAGACACATAATTATCGAAAACATAAGTGAATACTTACATCAGATCGATAATAAATATTTAACGGACTTCATTGTAAATATGCTTGTATCCAGTTAGCGTTATACATCTAAATAATCAAAGTCTAAGAAATTTACAAAAAAACAATACAAGTCAATGAAAGTCAATGCTACTGAGCCCCTCATTTTTTCGCAATTTAGAATTTTAGAATCTATATAAAGATTAAATGGAATTTCTAATATTAATGACCGACAAATTGATATATCAATCTATGATATATTCGGTTTTATCTGTGGAAGACCAGCAATATGGTATTTTGGCTCAATCGTCGCGTGTAGTATAAAGGCACTTACATGCGAATTCTCTGAAGAAAGCAATCATCATCTTTGAAATATTGGTAAATTATTTAAGGATTAGAAATGCTATTGCAGCAACTATCCATTTGACATGTATTGCCAATGTCTATGCCAATGTTTAGATATTAAGATTCATGTAAAAAAAATCCTTAGGGTCGATAATTCGTACAGGACGACCACTAAAGACTAGTTGCGAATGGTTTATCGATGTCCGAGCATGCTTGCATGGATCAGTAATGTCCCTCACAATTTGAATACAGTGATTATGCTATCAGTTTGTAGATTACAGACTCAGCCAGAAGTTCCCATTCCGGCGATCTGCTCATCTTTGTTCCCATTAATGCATCAATATTTTATATGGACATTTAAATAAGATGGCAGACAGAATCCCTATGTCATTTAAGCGGCAAATCTGGAGACAAGAACCATTAGGAGACATCATAAATATATCATATATAAGCCTTGGCACGAAGTTGTGATCAAACCGACTGTTGCTTTTTTTTATATAGCATTGTCTATTACAAAACGTATTTCTAATCTTGATTTATTCCGAAATAAATGTGCAATTATAGATCGTTTCAAACGTAGGCGTTTTCCCGAGCATTTATAAATCTATGCATTGCATTTATTGATTTTCTACACAACATAGGGTGTTTCCTGATTTCCATTGTAATATATTGTAAATGGAATCGAAATTGCTTCTAAAAAATGAAAGAACTTATAATTATACCATTACAAAATACGTTATGACAAGCGTTTGGTTATCTAAGGTGTGACGTCTTTATTGTAATCGGTATTGCTACAAAGTAGAAAAATGAGTTACGTCATTTGATTCATTTATCTTCGAATAAGCACAAAATGGTCAATATTCTCCCATAACGTATATTTACCATCATATGACATTGCCACTATATAACCCTACATATTCATATTGCAATCATATAGCTATGAATGCCATATTGCAGTCATATAGCTATGAATGCCATAAACTGTCTAATTACAATCCCATATCAGAGTATTGAATAAGCTCATGTTCAGTACGATTAGGGACAGGCAAAACAAACAAGATAAAATATCGCGATTCCAGAAATTGAATACATAACCTTTTTTCACATAAAAGTGACAATCAATTAAAATACATGTTCCACTTACAGGAATTATATGCTATAAAATGGTAGTGGAACTCTTTCGTGTAAGATGTCGATATATCCATGGTCGCACATCATATCATCGGTTTTTGCACACGAATATTTGGAATTAGAAAATATAATATATGCATTAAAGCTGAATGCATATGACTGTTCGTGTTATTCTGCAGTACTTAACGAGACTGTCTGAATTTTCATTACGTTTATTAAAAGCATTGATGTAATCATGTGATATTGCATGACTTGAAATCTTTAACTATCCTCCTTTTTAATGATCATAGTCGAATTAGTGAAAATTGTAAAATAATTAATTTTTTGATGGAATGCAGTGATGCAACTGAAAGTTTCAAATCTCATAATATTATTTTGTGCCCACGCACTGTCATCTTGATGTTGTTTACCTTTAACGACATTTTAACAGCAGTTGCTTTCCTCTTGGGCTATTTATGATACCTCTGTAAAAGTGTTTTTTCCGTGCACACAGGTAATGCCCAGCAAGGACCTCCTGGACCACCAGGGATTGGCGACAATTGTAAGTACATACATGTATATAAATATCTTTTAAACTTTGGTTTTATCTCGAAATCGAACACAATTGACCATAAGAGGAAGCAGGACGCATCAGTCTACGCTTATTACCAACCATAACCATTACTTTTCAGTGGATCCTTTGCAATGCTTGTAGCCATTTTGTTAATGTTATATATAGGTAAAACGACCACCATGTGTCATAAAATACGTTGTAAAGGGGTTTGGAAATTAATTGAGGGACCAACACCCAAGAAAATTTGTTAGAAAAAAACAACAGAAAAGGGGAATTGAAAATATTTCAGTTGTACACTGTAAGCGAGGTGACAAACGGAACGTTGGCCTTATATAGAGTTATTTTTTCTAATAGTGCCAACAGCAATGCTTGTAAAAAATACTCTTCATTATGATTTTGGTCCCATTTCACGTTTTTTTCTTTTCTCTTTTATGTTTTTAGTTTCATAGTTATAAGAACTGATATGAAATGATGTTACACTCGTTCGGTACATTCGCAACATAGTCATGTATCAACTAATACCTGTTATTTGTTGAAAGCAATTTAAGTGATATGATCCCAAATATCCACTTCATGCTCATCGTTATTTCATTAATCCAGTTCAGCAGCAGCTTTTGGATCAAGTCACTATTAATCTGGAGGTTATAAATCTAGCCAATCCTCAAAGGATATTAACGTTCTTCTTCGTTTTGTAAGACTTCGTTTTTCTTCCAACTCATGGACTGTAACATAATCCCGGGATTGATATTATTTTTCATTTTGTTTTAGTCCCGAAGTTTCCAGGAGTTTCTGAAGTGGCTGCACCCGGTTACCATGTACCAGAGGAACTTCTCATCTTCCCCGAGGTTGATTTGGATGGTAAATATATCACATTACTTGAACTGATACTTTGGCAAATACTTTCCTGTTGTCAGACTTCTGATTGTCTTAGTGTCGTTTTATTCGTTTCGCTGAAAAAGTAATCTTCAAATATATCCGGTTTTCGGTCCAGAACATAATATTGTAAGACGTAATTTTAGATAAAAAAATAGATAATAATTCTTATTAAAAAACATGACAAACAAATCGTACTTAGGAGGTTTTATGTCTTAATACAGTTTTGTTTTATAAAGCAGTTTATGTCAAATAAAACATCATCTCCATTAGGCAACCATAAAAAACGAAATCTAAAATAACATAGCCCCAAGCCGCTTCATCATTGATAACATCATAATTTAACACGAAGCCTGGCATCAAGTTTTGCAGCCACAAAACGCCTAGGCAAATAGTTTTAACATCAAAAGCTTACGATTAGTGAAACATCAGCTTTAAAACACATCGGTAAAATAGAGAACATCGTTTCAAATGCAAATTTAAACATCTTGGTTTAAAGCATGATCTTTATTAGCCATCTGCTTTCACCAATAAGGAGTTATTGCCCTTTACCACACCAAAAAACTAGAAAAAAAGTAAACATTCCTAAAACATATTTGTGTTATTCATTTTTCAGCATATGTCGCAGGAGAACCGGTGAATCCAGAGGATCGTAAGTTATTGATATACAATTGTACTGATAATAATATTAATAAGTATTTGTATCAGGACGAAAACGCGCATAGTAGAGTGAACTACATGTACACAATAAGCAATGTCTTGGGCATGTTAAATTCTCAAAAACAATTGATATATTTCAAAGAAAATATACATTCAAGTTGATTAAGTCAAGTATTTGATTTTCTTAAAACAAATAACATTGGATTCCAGAAAAAAAACATTTGGATATAAATTTACATCAGAATGAAAATAAGATGCAGTTAGAATTTAAATAAATAACTTGAATTAGAAAAATCCTACATATTTGATTAAATATTACCGTAAAAATTAGTAGACCATATTTAAAAGAAGGAATATAAATATATAAAGTTTTTAAGCTGAACGTAATTATCTTTTTAATCTAATGTATAATCATTTCAATTACGTTTTCATTAACTTCAAATGCATCTTTGTATATGCATTTTTGATTTGATGTTTATTCAATGAAATAGAAATATCAATGTTTTCTTTTTTAATGTTTAGCCATTTGAAATAAAATGATTATCTCTTTGAATTAAAAATATTATTTTTGTAAGTTCAGTTGTTTTTTAATTCAAATACATTCACAAATTGGCAACGTTTGACATGCTATACATATCACAATTAGATACATTTTACTTACCTCAATGGAAGACAGAAAAAACAGACCTCTACCAAATTGATGTTCTGTGTGGTGCATATCGTCCAAGAAATTTGGTTTTGAATTATATATAGACCATCAAGTAATCAACTATTTGATCAATTTATTATTTTCAATAAATGCAATTTCAGCTCAGCCAATGATCGACCCCGGACCGGAGTTACATACCTGTGAGTATTTTTACTGTTTTAGTGAGGATTTTAGGAATTTCAAAGTTTACATATCTGTGTTTTGAATAACATTTCCTTGGCTATTTAAAGAAAGAAAAATATTACTCCACTATAACAGGATGGCTACTTTTTCAATAATTCTAAAATAAATTATTTGATAATCATCACTAACTGAAAATTGTTTATTTTTATTTTCAATTCATTTCATTATTGATAAAAAAATAAAAACATGTACAAAGTTGATTTTGATAAAATCCTGATGAAAGAAAATACTGCTTGCCCGAAACCTCAAATGCATGGTTTGTGCAACATGTATATCTCTTGGTAACTTTGCTTTATCCTCATTTTAGTTTGTTTTAATAACATATATCACTTATAATATGTTCCGTAGTTACAAATAATAAACTTACTCCCCTTCCTTTTGTAAAACATGTTTAGTGTTATTATAGCTACATTCATGTACCAACATTTTCCAATACTTTTCCTGTATCTCTCGGTCAATGCAATGTGACAAAATGTCATCTCCATACTGTTTCAATCCAGAGCCATATAATGCTCTTGACATACGTGCATTTCCCGCCTGTGGTTGGCTTTTTCACTTATCCTTCAAAATATGTCTGTGATATGCTATGTGATGTAAGTAACGTTTTGCACTTTATTTAGTTTTGAAGTGTTATTATATGATATCATTAATTACCTAATTCCATATCCCGTTTAATTCCAGTCTCCGACCCAAGAGGTCCGACAGGCTATAGAGGTAAGCAAGAAAAGTTAAACTTTCACTAGTTTGCTGATTATATTTTTTTAATTTCGTGGATGCAAGATATATTTTGTTTTCGGAACTTATTCTCGGGTTTTCATTTCGCGAATCACAATTTCTGTAAGTCTATTTCGGAACACCTCGCAAATAGTTTCTAGTACTAATCAAATTCATTTGGATGTCGTTTCTGCACTGTTGTCATCTATGTATGAGCCTTGTGGATTGCAAGATATTCATTAGTTTGTTACGATCTGGGGTAGAGTTCGTGAGTGAGAACGCCAAACTTAGGGATTGCGACGGTAACTGTAACATTGAACCGGTTTCCGTCACCACACTGTCGGGAAAGTAGGCTATGTTCTCGAAACTCACCGACAAAATAAGAAACTTTATTTATTAAAATCAGCATGGATTTCTCACATCACGTTTTAAGCTGACCGTGAATATTAATAACGCCATAGATTTAAAACACGTAACAATTATGCCTGAAAGAAAATGTCGGTAGGGACCATTGCAGACTTAAAGTCGAAACGAAATAGCCGTTATCTATGTAGGACCTGATGTACATGTTTTGTTGGAATGAATGTGGCCAAGACAAGGTTAGGGACTTGCAGACCGTTCTATTGTTTTTAGCTCGAATATTGGGAGTAGCAAATGTGTGAAAAATCTTTCATGGATAGGCATTACATTGGGCGACGCATTGTTTGGAACCATTTGTCCTGATTTCATACCAAGTGTATTTATTTACGTTTAGAAATTTTATTCGAATATGTTGAAATTGTTTTGTGGACTTTTTTCAACACGTTGTTTATACGTAGCGGCCTCCATTCAACTGACATCTTGAACGTATGAGACCTGGATATTCGTGACATGTTTTAAATTTGTCACGCATTACAAAATTTTGCGAATTTCGATGCATTCGCGAAATTAGCGAAATTAAAATCCTCGTGAATATTAGCAACTATACAGTATATTAAAATCTCGCTATACTGTCATCATTTCTCCAGACATTTTGCCGTTAAGACGTTGTTAAAAATATAAATATAATTGTTCAGAAAATAACCTTGAAACAGTTCCATAAGTGATCTTAAAACAAAAATACAAAAATGTGTAGAGTGCCTAAAACACTGTCTATGACGTAACAAATTTTAAGCTTTTGGCTAGCACAAATATTCTTCCTTAACAATCGACAGGATGGCTTAAATTTTTCGAAGGAAAGAAAACATCAACTTTTGTTCTAACTATGACGATGGAGCGGAAATGATAAACCCAAATTCCTCTTATCTGCCAATATGTTGTTTATTTTTTCTAGTACCCTTTCGTCGCTTCTTCCCTGGTCGGAACGTTGAAAGTGAATACCAGTATCGAAACCGTCGAGTGGACATCCAGAACGACATGGAACCTTAATGGAGCTAGAAGGTAGGAAATGATTTTCGTATTTTACTTAATTCGTCTTATATGTACAGCTAATCCACTTAACATGTATTAACTATGGAAATATTGAACAGACAACACTTAATATAAGTGTACATACTGAGGTACTAAACCTTGTCTGTACCGAAACCGAATGTTATCTGGAACGTTGTTGGGTTCGCATGACAGATGATACACAGTGTGCAGGCAAAGCCTATGCTCATAAAGTTCCTGTTTCAACTTGATTCCTATAGTCCTTCTTTTGTTTTGGTGTCTTCTATGTAACTGTTGAGGTCCTCAAATCTTGACGCCGCATTCTGATATGAACAAAAACCTAATTTACTGAAAAACCAGCGTGCATCTTTCTTTTACCATGTAATGTATTTTCATCATGAATCGCCTTGTAGTAATACCTAAATGCAACAGAAAAGTGCAATTTATAAGATTATAAGATTTTGATTTTTTTTAGAATTTTTATAATATGTCTTAACTAGTTAATACCATAAATAACCCTTCGAAAATTGGTTTGGTGTTGTTCATGTTTTACGTCCTGTTAAAAGTGTGATTTTTTTAGAATTATTATAATATGTCTAATGAAATAAACTACATGTAGTTAATACCACAACCTTTCGAAAAAAGGGGTCTGGGTGGTTTGGGTGGTTTAAACGTCATTCAAAGTTATGGTCGTTTCAGTGAAAAACATATCTTTGTATACCTAATTCGATTTTATTTTATTTGCAGAAAATGCCTACCAGAGTGGGAGCCGTCGATATAAAACAGACGAACAGATTTCACATCTTGTTACAATATCAATATATATATTTTCTTCATTCCATTCCTGTGTATATTAACCCCTTATCCTGCCGTTTTATAATTTACTTACATTACTTTTCAACGACAAACTAGTATTACAAAACGGATTTGATTTGAGTGTTTTTATTACTGAAACTGTCCTTCAATTGACACAAAGACTCAAAGTGTGTACCAAACGTTAACTTTGATAATAAAATTGGTGTCTCAATATATTTTTGTTTGTATATTTAATCTTAAATTTCATATCATTTTGTCAAAGTTTTTCTTTGAAATTAATTCTAATTTCACGGATTGATGATTCTGCACATGACATGTAAAGTTGCGCCGGGTCTCTTTTTTTAAGATATCCATACAAAATATACTTTGTTGCAATTTGAGCATTCGAATGGCGCCAAGATATTTGCCAGGGTCAGATGGTTATATTCACCGAATGACTTGACACTGTATTTTGCGTTTTCAACGCTTGTGTTTATTTCGTTATGTTTAGATTGATTTATTAATGGAATATATTATCATGCAATACCAAACATATTTTAACAAGTGACTCTCGAAATACAGCTTGTCTGACATAAGCTTTCAACGTTTACTCCTGTCTCCGCTTCGGCTACCATGGACACGATGAGCAAGGAATGGTATTAGTTAGACTTCAGACTAGTTGGAGCAGCAAAACCTGGTAAACAATATGCAACATCTCTTGAAAAGTTACTTATGACTAGGAAAATTTCGGTAAGTTAGATTCACTTATCAAAGTTTGCATCTTTTTCTTTTCCGCTTGGAGACGTTCAATCATTTACGCTTGCTCAACTAATCATTGTCCAGTGTACCCCATTAGTAGACAGGAACATGAATGGAACACATATGACCGTATTGAAATAGAGCTAACATATAGCTGCTTAATTCATTTTTTAAAACGTATGGTAAAAAAAGATATTGTCTTAGTCTTAGTCTTAGCATTGGGTTTTACTGCATCATATTTGCTCAGAGAAAACATGCAGAAGAATGTACGGCACTTTTCGTCTATTTCAAAGACTGTCAAATACGAAAGCCAATATGGCTCATTTAGCTACATAGAAAATTAATATAATAGCTTTCAGAATCCTTAGTTAAAACGTCGGCATGCAAGAAGTTTAAACAATGTCGTGTAATCATGTTGAATAAGCAAACGCCGTATGTCGACATGTTTATAAATCTGAAGCCGGTAATTAACATACTTAATTTTTTTTTATACACAAAGTACGTATCAAACGTGTCGCAACGTTTCAAGACCGACTGGTCCCTTCGTCAAGCTATGACTGAGTGAGTGATTTTTATTGTTTGTCTGTACAAAGATGTGACGAAATTGTATAGATTACCAGTAATACAGTATCTACACTCACTATCGAAAGGCAAACTTACCCGGGTCGAGTGACATATGAAATATACAACGTCACAACGTACTACAGGTGAACAAAACAAATCGCTCACTCAGTCAAAGCTAGACAAAGAGACAGGTCGGTCTTGAAACGTCTTATTGGAGATATTGATAAATAACATTTGATTTAAATATTGACCCGGTATTGCAGGGTTTCTCAAACAATCGCCCTTAAATGTATTCCGTCTTTGCGTATTGCAGAGTTATCTTCTCTTGGGAGCAGGTATTGATTGTGACGTCACTTGTTTGTGAGAGTAACGTCATCAATGTTTGAGAAAACGACGTAATTTTTTCACACAAATCAATGACGTAACAATCAATACCTGCTCCCAAGAGAAAAATAACTCTGCAATACGCAAAGACGAAATTGTTCAGTGGAAACATCACCAGATTTATTTGAATTAATTTTAAATCAATTTGCAATAGCGAATTGTCATCACGTTTCAGAAATTGCAAAACAGAACATAATCTGATGATTCTTACCTTTAAATAAGGTAAAAGTTCAATGTGTGAAAAGCCACGTTCATGTTGTATTCCCTGGTAAAACATTGTATTTACTGTATTATAAAAGTATTAAAATAGATCACAACATGCAACACATTCTCATACAAAGACACACCAGAACGTAACTAGAACTGTAAGCCAAAGGCTAACAAATACCCCCGCTGCTATATGAACCAGAACTGTAAGTTAAAGGCTTACTAAGGCAGAGCATTGCAAATCAATCCATAGTCTCCCACCAGTAACAAGTATTTCGCACAAAGGGGCATACCTCCATCAAAAAGGTTCGGAATCCCAAATTAAAATAAGGGTGCACAACTGCATAAGATACCGATCATTCATACAAATGTTTGATGAAATTCACCTGTTAGTTAAGGAGGTGTGTGCGGACAAGTATTTCGCACAAAGGGGCATAACTCCACCAAAAAGGTCGAAATCCCAAATTAAAATGCCGGTGCACAAATACATAAAATACTGATCATTCATGCAAATTTTCACTGAAATCCACCTGTTAATTAAGGAGGAGGTTTCCGGGACAAGTTACTGCGGACGACAGACAGACAGACCTCCAGACAGGGTGATTCCAGTAACCCCACCCCCCCCCTAACTTCGTTGCGGGGGTATAATAAATACGACACAAAATATGCAGCCATTTTTTTCTCAAATCGAAAATTTCTTGCTAAGGCAATAAAAAACATATCAGTTTCTCTAATAGGTCATTGATCTACTTGTCATGATACAGTCGCTTTATGCAGGTATTGAAATGAATGTGTCTACACTAGATAGTCGCTTCATATTGACTAAATATCTTCTAGCGTCGCTTACTGACAACATGATCCTCTTCATCGTGTCCCAGGGTACAGCCCTTGATGAGACATGCACAGCACACAGTACAGGCAAGATGATATCATAACAAAATTGATCAATAAGGTAGAAACTCAGATTTGGCAACGTTATAACAAAGTTTGCCTTAAGGAAGATGCTATAACTATTTTTTTTATTCTTTTTACCTAATTATTAGAGACGAGTCAATTAATTGTTACTTGATAATTACTTAGGAGAAATAACGATAGTATAGCCTGACTCTACAGCCGATCAATAAGGCAGAAACTCAGAATTAGGCAACGTATATCAAAGTTTGCCTTAAGGAAGATGCTATAACTATTTTTTTTATTCTTTTTACCTAATTACTAGAGACGAGTCAATTAATTGTTACTTGATAATTACTTAGGAGAAATAACGATAGTAATATACCTGACTATACAGCCGATCAATAAGGCAGAAACTCAGAATTAGGCAACGTATATCAAAGTTTGCCTTAAGGAAGATGCTATAGCTATTTTTTTAATTCTTTTTACCTAATTACTAGAGACGAGTCAATTAATTGTTACTTGATAATTACTTAAGAAAAATAACGATAGTAATATACCTGACTGTACAGCCGTTTTGATGAATGCCTACATTCTGAAAATGAGTGTTGTGTTGTTTATGAGGAGTTTATATTTCTAACGCGCTGCAGACAACAGTATTCCGTCTTTGCGTATTGCAGAGTTATTTTCTCTTGGGAGCAGGTATTGATTATTACGTCATTGGTTTGTGTGATAAAATTACGTCGTTTTCTCAAAAATTAAGACGTTACTCTCACAAACAAGTGACGTAACAATCAATACCTGTTCCCAAGAGAAGATAACTCTGCAATACGCAAAGACGGAATATGTATATATATATATATGGGGCAAAGAAGTAATTCCAACAGTGTGGACAAGTTTAGGTTGTCAAATTTGCGGAGCGGTCCGCTCCTTTATCAAGACACAGTGAAACAGAACAGTTACATGTACATATACATCATATTACAAGAAGATAGAACTGATATACTATCATTGAAANTATATATATATATATATATATACTGAAGAGTGTTCGACCTCACAAGTCTTCACAGGAGGAAAAAACACCAAGTTTTCTTCGTCTCAGAACCCCTTTCAAAAAATAAACAAGGATTTTAAAGGGATAGTTTATTATCACAAACGTATGTATAGCCGGTCACCTAAGATTAACATAGAATACATAGATAAAAAGGTCTACAAATCACATAGCCTCTATATTAGTCGCCTGATATAGTACAGGGGAAGTAACTCAAATATTCGGGAAATCCTCGAGAAGTCGGGGCTTCTCCCGAACTAGGGGTTCGGGCCCTTCTTGGGACACTTATAAAACAATAATGTTATATAAAAACAACCCGTCTAAACGGGCCTATTTTTTGTAAAATTTATGAATATCACTATATTAAATTAAAACAAATCTACGTTCCAGGTACCAAATAAACTTAATCAAATCAAATTAAATGACGAAACACATAATAACTGTTATTCTACGTTGCTGTCAAAATACACAGCCGGCTCCGCGGAGATCAATCAATTTAACTCAACGCAGCCCCAGCGCGTGCTGAATCGCACGGCCAATGAAAGGACTTGGCATATGAATGAACGAGCCAATCACAATAACTTTTACATAATACGGTAACAAGTGATCAACAAGAATCCATGTTGAAGAACATTACAGTTGAAACATTTACGAAGGTTATAAATAGATACATACTCAGCAGAATAGATTATGAATAGCAAAAGGTTACTATCTTACTAACTAGACAAGAGTTATGTTACAAGGAACATCAGCAGGTACGAGCACACGCGGAAGGCTAAGTTAACACTGACAATCTATGTACGCATTACTACTGTAGTGTTCATGTGTTATTCAAACAAGATGATGAAAACCAACAACTACGAAAGCCGGTACAGGCCAAAGTGAAAAAATATATTATGTCGTAATAACGACTTAGCTATCTCGAAAATAAAGAAGTAAAACAGCAAGTCCCCAAACTGGGTTTGTGAGATTTAACAAGTACTAATTGTAATGGGAACAATTACAGAAGTCCCCGAAAGTGCCTCCATGGTCGCAAAGATGCATCACAAAAGGATTGCAATGCAACGATATACGAATACATACATGTGTTTTGCAATATTGGACATAGACAGGGACCATTGGCATCACCTTGGCGTACAAGTCGTTACTAGAGATAGTAAGTCGTTACTACGAAATAGCTAAGTCGTACATAACATTTGTTTTCTCGATGGCCCGTACCGGCTTCCGTAAACAATAGAAGGTGCATATGTTGGAAATGAACTAGATGAAAATCATCGTGCATCAGGTCTTTATAAAAAATGTTCATGACGTCATCATCGGCATAACATCTAATGAATATTGCTACTATGACATGTTCAAAACTGATGCATCAAGTCAGCATATCAGTTATGCTAGCTAAACCATATTTTATTCATGTCAATTGACATGTACAATTACAAATAACATTTGATTTTGATGATCGGGGAACAAGTACTAACGTACTTACACGTAGTCCATCCCATCGTGCACTACAAGATAGCTTTGCTGATAATACATGTGTACCTTAACGGTGATAGCCCGTATGAAAGGTAGAACATGATATTAGGGGGAAAATTATAATGTATCTGATGGATGAGTAGTATAGGTTACGCGATATTCTATATATATAGCTGAATATTGTGAAAAAACAGGTACTAAGAAAAATATAACATAGTACACTTACGCATTTATGAGTCAACAGTAACGTTAAAGCACAAGCCACAATCTGTCAAACATCCTTCATTTGAAATCATTTTTCCTGAATCCTCTGCCTTCGCGGAACACAGATTTACATATTTCAGCAACACTGTTGTTATCGCAGTTCGTAAGGGCAGTTGTCAATTGTGATAGAGCTTTTTCTGGTTCACCTGTACTGGATTTCAGCCATTTATTTATAATAGACATTTTGAATTCTACAGGGTGATGACCATGCATAAAGCGAAGGTCTTGGTACTTTACCAAAGAAATGCCAAGTTCTGTGGCCAAAGCAAACAAATCGCCGATATCAAGGTTTTGCACTAAGGTCAGCATGCTCCGACTGTCGAAGAAACCTGAAAAAGAATGACAAAGCGGATGAAAGCAAAGATATCTTTAAAATGGTGTCGTTTTTTTTTTGATATACACATACTTTATTACTAGATACCAACCAGAAACAATGACTAAATATAAAAACACTTTACTACTGCTTACCTTACAGAACACTGACTAAGAAAACAATACTGTATAACTGAATACCAAACAGAAACACTGACTAAGTATAAACATATGTTATTACTACTTAACATACAGAACACTGACTAAGAAACAATATTTTTTCTACTTAATACTATACAGAATAAATGACTAAGGACAACCATTTCTATATGTTATTACTACTTAACATACAGAACAATGACTAAGTATAAACTTATGTTATTACTACTTAACATACAGAACACTGACTAAGTATAAACATATGTTATTACTACTTAACATACAGAACACTGACTAAGAAACAATATTTTTTCTACTTAATACTATACAGAATAAATGACTAAGGACAACCATTTCTATATGTTATTACTACTTAACATACAGAACAATGACTAAGTATAAACTTATGTTATTACTACTTAACATACAGAACACTGACTAAGTATAAACATATGTTATTACTACTTAACATACAGAACACTGACTAAGAAACAATATTTTTTTTACTAAATACTATACAGAAGAAATGACTAAGGACAACCATTTCTATATAGTCATATTTTTATTAACATTTCTCGAATCAATCGAAAAAAAACATCTTCCATATCTTTTTTGACATCACACAAAAACAATGTTATATATTGAGCACACTGTTAAACATCCCTCAAAACAATGAAAAAATAATAAATAAATGTAAACAATATTTTAATAAAACAAGATTGACGAATTGACGATTAAAACGTTTTCGTTAAAACTATTACTGCAATTGCAATGAATTCTTTAACATAATTTATCATTAAAACATCAATTATATAATTGTTTTAGTGTCTATGGCAGAATCATATTGTTATGATTTTATCGCAATGTAAAACAATTACAGATGTACATAACGTCAAATTTACGACACATTTTGAACTGTCCTTAATATCTGACAGATTGTCATAATAACGACTGCGCTTCTCAACCAAAGTTGCCAGATTGGTTATATTTTAGCATTTTCTTCATGATAAAAGACATTGAACATGGATAATTTATGTTTTGATTAACATAGATAAGTTCGATCATGGTAGTAATACATACTTGTCGGTTGATCTGCATCTGAAGATTCGGACGAAAGCGGCAATATTCCGACTGGACGGAAATATGCTGTATACAATTGACAAGGTGTTTTCTTTGTTTCAGATTTGAAATGCAGGATTGCCATTTCTCCAGTTCCAGTTTTAGTTACAGGAAAGCTGATGTAGTTGTGTTTTGCTGTTGGAAGATAAACGATCGTATGTGTTTCTGCAACACCGTTACACATTTTGAAACATCCATCTGACCCAAGATGTACTCGTATCCTTGTTTTCTTTTTAAACGATTTCCCCCCAGATCTACAGTTAGGAGGTTCTCTTAAATTGTTGCTGTTCGTCCGCTTCAAAACAACATCTTCAACATCGCGCTCCGGTGCAATTTCTCCCCATATCAGCCAAGAATTTTCCGTCGGTCCCACTCCAAGAAACACCAGAATGCTGCAGGGAGTGTTATAGCCGTATATAGCATGGACATTTTCAGAATCCGTCTTCTTCTTTTTCTGTTTGTGTCTTCTTTTTTTGGCGACTACACTTTTCCTTCAAATAAAAGATTTATATTTATCAGTATCCTATTATGCATCCATGTACATTTAGTTATTTAAAAAAAAATATGAAATATTTATGTATAAACTTAATAAATACTGAATTATTAATAAATCTTTTAATATATCCAGAAAAATATATTTAATATATATGTATGAGAACTATATCAAATTATTGTAATGTTTTGTTGACATAACTGTGATTACTCTAATAATCATTGGTTTGAAGTTTTAATCCAAGAAGATAATTTCATGTCTAACTACTTATCGCAATTACTGTTTGTTCCGCTAGTTAAACTATAAGCATGATTCCGTAAGGCAAAAGGATAGTTCCATTGTTTATAAATGTATTTTCAATGGGCTACTGTTTTGTAACAAGTTATAAAAATATATTACTTTAGTATTATATCAAATAACGTTTAACTGGACATTTTAGCATGAAGACATAATTATTGTTTTTTTCATAAAATATTCTGACTGTCCATTTTATGTGATAACAAATGTGTTAAAAAAAGAAAATCGAAATATTATATTTATCACACATCAAATGTATTGATGCATAAAAGGTACATTTCTTACCCAGAGAACACAGATGTTTCGAGTTTGATTTTGTTTTTCCCGACTTTTTTCAACTTGTTTCCCTTTTGGTCAATGACGATATCGTCATCGTGAAAATGAACCGAAATAAGTTCACAGGCGGCGATATCATCACTCGTAATCATTTCCATCGGTAGTTCAACACATATATCTTTCATGAATGGCTCGGAGTGCTTAATGTGAACGATGTCAGTGTATCCTACAATGGACAATTCGGGCTGGTTTTGTTTCAGCTGCTGTATTGCGGAACGGTCAGCTGATTCCAGCTACAAAAGAATAAACCAACTTATATTACATAATATGTTGGTAAATTACTTCCATCCTGCTCACTCGTTACATGACTCTGCTGAAAAGACAATACGAAATCATCAAATAAAGAATGATAAACAAATTAAATAAATGAAAACAGCTACAACAAAGGAGGAATTCAAATCAGTATTGGCAAATAATAGTAATAATAATAATTCGAGGTTCCTATATACCGCTTTATCACAACCTACTTCGTAGGTCGTCTCAAAACGGTTCACTAATTATTATCCGTGGTTAAAGGGCCTTTGCAACCAGCCAAAATGTTCCTTAACTCCCTGGGGACCTACATCCGGTGCTGCCAATAGGCGCTCACAGCCACCATTCTAAAATTCTAGCACTTCCCAACCACGTACTCATTTACAGCTGAGTAGACTGGAACAAGCGGAGTAAAGTATCTTGCTCAAAGATACAACACAGTGCCGTGATGAGAGTCGAACTCGCAACCCTTCGGCACGAGCCCGGCGTCCTACCACTAGACTACCGTGCCTCCAACAAACAACAGAATTGGAGTATGTCGAACAGAAATAAACATTATTAGAATTATACAAATACAAGTTTAGATTAACAATTTATTTTGGTACAATCAAAGGACTTTGTAAGATTTTCAGTTTAGGACATTGGGCTGTTTAATGTTAATATGGCTCTAGAGGTATTAAACACAAATTTGAAAAAACTTGGAACTGACACTGCCCCCCTGATAGACGATCGGAAAACCACATAACATAGTTCCTGTGTCCTTTTTAGAGTCGGTCTCACAGAAATTGCATTGCAATTCATTTATTTAATTATATGTTTCGTTTGACTTTGAATTAATTTGTAATGAAAAACTTTAAAATACATATTTGTTTAATGAATTCACAACGTTGACATACACTCTAGTCTAATTGCAGTAGGAAAGTTCATTTGTTCCGTATCCCCCTAACAACAATACAATATTATATAGAATAAAATGGATAACCGGTCTTCATGGAAATTCTCAACTTCTGCCAATCAGAATACAGGCCGTAGAGAACATTTTGTGATACAGGCAAATTATAGTTTGCGGTTAAGTTCGTCATCCAATAATACACAAACAAAGAAATATTTAATGTTGACAAAACATAATCCAGGCAAGATCGTCCAATTTGTACACAAACATCGACCTTGTTTTTAACTCTAGAACTACATGATATTTACATTTCTTTCACCAACTTTCATTATAATCCAATACAAAGAACAAACAAAAGGTATAGCCCTACATGTCTAAGACAATCACAGGTCACAGTGGCCATGTTTAATGCTAGATTTTAATGAGAAATGTGAGATGTTAATTTACATGTGTCCATCAATGTTACGTTTCATAAGTATCCGGACAGTACTTTTTGACAAAAAACTGAACAAACCTTTAGGTGGAAGACAAACAAAAAGGAATAATAAGAAGAAGGAAAACAAACAAATGCAAGAAGTCCTCAAAGTCGCGTTGAGGTTTAAAACTACAAAATTCAACTTCATATTGATTACATGAAGACTTACCGACACATGTACCACTTGACGTGACTGGACGGATCCTTTAGGGAAACGGATCAAAACATCTCTATTTGAGGCAAAACGATGTTCCATTCCATTTGGACCAACTGTAACATCGTATACTGTCCCCATAGATGTAACGCATACCAGCGCTTTCACCGGAATAGGGATGGTCGCTTCAAATGTTCCTTGCTAATGAGAAAGACGAACAAGAAACCATCAAATTCTTTTAACACCACTTGGCGATTCTGTTTGTATGATAATGCATTTATATGTATGTATACATTATATTATTATTATCACCGCTATTCTAACATCATTATTTTCTCACTGTTGCATGATGCATCATATTGGGTAAGTTAAATACGGAAAATGTAGTATTTTACACACAGCATCATTAACATTAACAGCAACTGGAAAAAAAATGACGGCATTTGATCCTATCAAAAGACATGCTGTAACAACTTAAAATGATGGTGGTTGCTGTATCAAAACGTTATTTTATAGATAGTATTTTTCAAACTATATTTAACAATTATAAAAATGGTAAAATATTATGAAACGGACATGCGGACATGCATTTGAGATTTTTGTGTGAAGAAATAGACGTGTACCAAAAAAGTGTCCATAAGGAATATAAAGTTATATAACATTTTGTGATATTCCATAGAAAATTATACCTTTTGATTGATTGTGGCTAAATCCTATTTTAATCGAGAATTTCATTTCTAATAACGAGAGTATTCTAGTACACTCGTAAAAATATGTACATTCAATGTTATATCAAAAATGAACAACTATTTCATATCCTCTGCCCGTGCATATGCAAGAATACGGAAAGGAGCTTTACCTTCAGAACGCCACTAATTGTTTTCCATCCATCATCATCTTTTAGATGTAGACGGTGAGACAAGTACTTTCTATTGGTGTCAAGCGGTGCAACGATTCTAACTTTTCCATCTGCTACTCTAACGATAGTTTCCTCGATATCACGTGTACATAGCTGAATGCATCCTTGGATATCGGATTCAACCAGCTTCCGTCTTCCCTGTTTTTTGAACGACTCCGTATTTAAGTAGAATACTTCCGTTTCGAGCTGTTCTGTGGCACCAAACTCCAGGTCCGATATTGTGTTCGGATTAACTGGATGACAGGTGACCATTATAAGGTTGTCTGTCTGCACCCTGCAATTAACAAAAAAAGCATCATAAATGCTGTATACTGAGACATTTTTCGCCCTCCCCGTTGAGGGCGAATTTTCTTATGACAAGTGAATATTGGTACGCAATATACAATAAATGGTAAATACATGTGAAGGGCGAAATTAAGACAAGGCGAACATAAATTTCACCGGCAAAGGGCGAATATTTGACTGGGCACAAGTTTCATGGTACACAGTAGGTACCAAAATTTTCCCCTGTTCATGATGTACTAACCAAATTATTAGTTACTAATATAATTAAAAAAAAAAAAAAAAGAAGTCGCTATTCATCCTTTAAAATTATTAGAATATCAATAACGAAAGTCACAATATTAACCGATAAACCGTACACTATGATAAGTACCATTTAAAATCAGTTTCTATAAATCAATTTGTGGCAACTTTTACTTACGCAGGCGATTTGTCTTCGACACCCGACAAACGATCCAACCGTTCCTCTAAACTGATAAATGAAACAAGATTACTCTGGTATCAAATACCATCATACAGTTTTGGACGAGACTTGAGGGGGACATGTGTATGATAAACCTGAAGATCGAATACATTTGTATGTAATACCTTGGTAAAATGAGAGAGAATTGAAGACAACAGGCCAATTCATTAGTATTATATTACATTCCGTTTTAGTTGACTTCCTCTGAAATAGCCCATACATGTAGGTTAAATTAGGATTTAGAAAATCTTATACACTGTATCCAGTTAACAGTAATATACATTTCCATTTGAAGCAATTTTCATAATTCTTTGGATTTAATACAAGATCCCATTGTAAAGCTGTGACTGAGTGAGCGATTTGTATTTTGTTTTACCTGTACAACGATGTAACGAAATTGTATATTTTTTGTCACTCGACCAGGGACGTTTCGCCTATCGATAGGGAGCGTATACACACTGCATAAGATAGGTTACAGGAAGGGTGTAGATCTAGCCCCTTCTCATGTTATGTCAGTATAGGGTCATACAGATGACTCAGCTGGTGTCATTCTTCGTCATGAACAAACGTTCTAAAGTGTTACCTATTTAAGCGCTCCAATACCTCTGGCTTGGCTCCACTGCAATGCAAAATAACTAATGTACAAAAATGTTTAAATGGATTCATCGTGGGTGTTGTTACATTTCATATGAATAAAAGATTTACAATAACAAATAGTTAATGTCAAACTTTAGACAAATACAAAGTTAATATAAATAAGAACAATACATAGGATTTAAAAGAATTGAATATGAAATATCACTATTTCATCATAGAATATGAACAACCGATAATATTTGTATCTGTAAGGGTCATCATTTATCATTGAATACTAAAAAACTGCATAATTATTTCAAATAATTCATTTGAGATTGCCAGAAAGCGTAACAATAAACCATGAGAAACATATCTAAAGATAAATACAAATGGTCGTGAAAATCACAAATACTTTCCTCGTTATAAATATGTACTCACTTTTCACACCTCTGACGGAAGGCTGATAATCTATAAATAGAATATGTTTAGAATAGTGTATCTTATTAAACCGATTGCAGATTGCATTATCACTGTAACAAATATCTGACTTGTACGTGTGCATCATAAACCAATTCGTACAAACGTAATAACTTTGAAATAGCACAGATATATGTTGTTTGATAAATTGAGAGAAAATTGGATCAGTAAATCATTTTTTTTATCATGTATTTATGAACAAGAAAACGTATACCGTTATAATGAATTGATTCATTCAACAAGTAATATATATCTATATTTGATCAAGCTTTTGTTACATAAAACTCCAATCAAAAAAATTATATTGATATAGAATACACACATGTAATAATAATAATAATAATCATAATCTTATTTAAACTTGATAACATATTGAGTCAAAGACTTGTCTCCCATAAGGTCAAGCATATTAAAAAAATTACATTATATACAAACATACATATAATTAGTGTTAGATACGTACTGGACTGCCACAGATGTTGTGTCATCCACGATCAATCTATAAAATAAAAAGGTGTAACAATATCTTCATATTAAAGCAAAAGCAATATTCAATTGCACACTTTTTAAGCGCGCATGCTTTATAACTTGCATCCTTCAAATCAGAATCAGCAATGAGGTTACTGATATTTACTGTCATTTGTTGATTCAACGACGTATAATAGTGTTGTAGAAAGTAACAATGTCGCATTGCAATATATATATAAATATGTATCAAACATAGACACAATCAAAACGCGTTTTTTTTAAATCCATTGAACCTTATTCTAATACGGAAAATTCATATTATGGTCATGCAATGTAAATATATATTTAGCAATTTATTAAAGTTTACGTAGAATGATAAGCTAGTTACTGTTTAATACTTTATGTTTCAATTTGTAATGTTCATCTTCCTTTTCGGTAAGCTCAATAGTAGTAACTTGATCAAAAATTACGTTTAAAACTACATTGGCCGCATTTTTGCAAACAAATGCTGTGCTCGCAGCCCATAAGAAGCAATTAAGTCGTGACATTTTATCTTTGAATACGTACAACAACTGCTTAGAGTGTATCAACTAAAAACAAAAACTTAAATAGCATACGTACCTACTGGTGTCTTTTCTACAAAATATTCCAATTTATGAAATTAAATGTCAAAACAAATGTTGATTTCAAATAATGCACCCGCTAAATATTAAGAAATGTTTCCTTCACCTCATTATGAAATATAACCTCGATAGCGTTGATTGAGGCGACACAATATTTATAACATTTTGTTGTTATTATTTTCATTATTTTTTCACTTTCGCATTAGAAGGTTTCTTGAAATTGTTTGTATATATATTATTCAATATATCATGTTCCATTTAAAGATTTGATTAAATTACCAGCATTTATATAAATGATCAACTTATTTGAAAATCATGTAAACCTATTGTACGCCATATTCGATTCTGCACAGTTAAGGTGAGTTTTGTTAGATACATGTACTTACTTATGCGATTCATACCTGAAAGAAAAGATGCTCATATCATTCAGGAGGGATGTCTGGAGGTAAGGATAAAGTGTGTCAAGTGGTTTTATTTCCCCAATAATGTAATGACAACTTTCTTTAAAATCAATATTCAACATATGTTGATCTAGTAACTCAGGTTATGTATTAGCCGTGACATCTTTTGCAAAATCATGCAATTTCGACTTTCACATTTATCACCCAGCAGTATCGTGATCCCAAAATTTTAATGTCCGACTTTTATTCAACATAACCAATCTGAGCTAATGATTTAATAAATGTGATGATAATTTTTTCCACACTTTTTAAAAGTTTTTTTGCAGTACTTACATTCCTATCGCAGACTCAATGAAACTTAGTCTACAACAAACAAGAGTAACTTTGACAAGCATACGGTTAATGAAAGTTTACATTTCAATATGACAATGGCAAGCTACACATGCAAAACACAACATATTTTTGCATTTTCCTCGGGTACTAAAACCACTGCGTAGGACATTACTTCGCTAGTTGTCACTGCCGCAGCTCCCTCTATAAGAACGTTTATTAATTGATTTGAAATATATCTATATGACGGGTGTCATCAATGAAACAGAAGACGCTTAGCTTTCAAGACCACTTAGTCTTAGTGTTCCTGTACTTTTTAAGGGGGTTTCCTTGTAAATGTTTGGTTTTATTTTGATTAACTTCGAGTTCGAGCTACGTTTTCACATTTAATTCCACAAATAGTTTAACTACATGACAACAATAATCGCAGAAGAAGCTATAAACAGTATATAATATCCCA